CCTGCTTCTCCCTCTGCCTGCCACTCTCCCTGCTTGTGCTCTCTCCCTCTCCCTTTCTCTCTGACAAATAAATAAATAAAATCTTAAAAAAAAAACACACACACAAAAAAACTATAACCTCAATACTTGTGGGGTGAAGCGGGCGGAGGCTAGAATATATCCAGCTGCCTCCTGTGCCCTCGGCTGTGGACTGGAACACCCCCGGAATGGTAAGGCTGGCTGGGAGAAGTTGGGGGTGTGGGTAGACACTGAACTGGGAAGGCTGGAGGGGCCCACTGGTCCTGTGCTGAAAAAAGCCTATGGAATGGCTTTTTTAAGAAGGCTGCCCATCAAGAAATGGCCTAGGCAACAGCCAGCAAACCATCTTTCTTTTTCAAGCAGTAGATGGAACATCAGGTGGATGGGTCCCCACAGAAGGTTGGGGAGACTTCTTGTTGGTTTTGGTATGCGTGACCATCCACTGTGTGTTCTGTTTCAGCACCAGCCAGTGTAGCCATGGAAGCCAGCTCTGACGGAGAGGAGGATGCAGAAAGTACAGACAAGGTAACTGAGACAGTGATGAATGGCGGCATGAAGGAAACTCTCAGCCTCACTGTAGATGCCAAGACAGAAACCGCAGTCTTCAAAAGGTAACCAGGGCCAGATCCTGCTGGCAGCTTCAGGTTGTTGGGGGGGTGGGGAGCACCTCAAGTGTTTACATCTTTGATTTGATTCAGATGTGGGTACAGGCATTAGCCTGACATCATCTTAGCGCCTCTGTTCAGCCCCATGAGTCTGAATGAAGACAGGGAGAGTTTGGGGTCCCTGAGTGCCCTTCCCCTCTCTTTCTAGTACTCAGAAGATTGTAGATTAAGTCTAGTGGGTTCAAAATACAGGAGAATAAAAAATGGACACATCTGTAGCCAAGTAGAAACTGGGCCATCAAAACCAAAGGGTCAGTGCCCTGCACACAGTCTTCTCCAGACGTAATGCAGTCAGTAGAAAGCAGCAGCAGAATGATAGCTTGAACCGTCTGTTTGGAAATTAATCTCACTTCTAAATTCATGGATCAAAAAAGGAATCCTACAGGAAACTAGGAGCACAACCCTGAAAGAACAGCAACAGGCACTCCTGGCGGAGCTGGGGCTGTGGCGGGGTTGGCGCTCGAGGCTGCATCTCCGTACTTGGCAGAGCCCTGCGGAGCAGAAGGGGTACGTCCCACCTCGTGGTGAGGTCCCTGCAAAACACAGCACAAAAGCGGAGCACGGATTCCCCATGGGGGCGCATATGCACGAGACTCCAAAGTTAAAAGCTAGCAAACCGAGTCCAACAGGGTGTTCTTGAGTTAGGATGGAGGATGTGTCCGGTGCAGGTGAGGATAGGGTGACCAGGTAAAGTGTTCTGGGGTGATTCACAGACCTGTAAGGATAAAAACCATTGGGACCTTAGGTAGATGGAGAGGAGTATTTGATGAAAATTAAAGCCATTCATGATTTTTTGGCCGTCGAGAAAGTAGCTCCTTGAAACTACTAAAGGTGTGTTCTGAAAATCTATAGCAGACTTGGTTCTTCACAGTGAAGCATGCGAAATATTCCCTCCAAGACACGACCTGGACAGTGAGGCGGGCCTGCAGTCACTCTGCTCTTCAGCACTGGGCTGGCAGTCTTAGCCAGTGCTGCATAAATTAAAAAAAAGGTATAAAGATTTGAAAGACTAAAATGGTTCTTGCTTGTTTGTAGATTATTATTTTCTACACAAAAAAATTCCAAACAGATCCATGAACAAGTATTCAAATTACCAGGGAAGTTTAGCCATTGCATCCTTTAAACCGATATGAGATGTGCTAGATGTGCCCCCTTTTAAATTAAAATGTTAAACCTTGTCTGTAAGATTGAAAGTCATAATAAAGACCTAAATAAGTAGAGAGATATGCCATGTTTGTTAATGAGAAGATATCTTTGGGATTTTTAACAAATTAATGTAGAAAATGAATGCGTTTCTAATCAAAATCCCATTGGAGCTTTTCATGGAGATTAAGAGGCTGATGGTGATATTCATAAAGTGGACCAAAGAACTGGAAATAACCAGGGTCATTTTGAAGAAGGGAGGGAGGGAGGCATCACCAGGTGAGAGCTCCTAATGGGCATGCTGTGCAGGTAGACCCCACGCTTACAGGAACTTGGTGCATGCTAGAATGGTGTTAAAGTCGGTGAGGAAAGAATGGACTGAGAAGTAGTGATTACCCATGTCACGGAAAAAATAAAATTAAATCTGCCTCAACATAAATACGAAAGGCATACAGCTTTGAGAAGAAAACATGAGAGCATCTCTTTATAATTTGGGGGTTACAGGGTTTTTTAACCATAAAAAAGCCAAACCGTAAAGGAAAAGGTTGATGAATTTTCTTTATTTAATTTCTGGTATTCTAAATGATAAAATGAAAAGACCCGCCATTACCTGCAAAGGAAGATTCAGGAGCAGGATGTAGGGAAACCTAATATCAAGAAGAAAAAGACAAGCTAATAATAAGATTTAAATGGACAAAGGACACACACAAGCCATTATCTGTGGTGGAAAACGGAGCAAACCAGCTCTAGAGCAGGCCAGCTTTACAAGTAAATAGGATGTGCTGGTTGCAGTAATGATTCGATGCTGTTTCATGCACATTCGTCTGCTCATTCCTACCTCAGTTGTTGCAGAACATAGAAAAAGTGCAGAACCTGCTGGATCTTTTTATGAGGCCATGAAATCTTAATGCCAAACCAGATAAGAATGATTACAGAAAACGATCAGCTCATATCACTTAAAAGCAAACTAAATGCAGAAATCCTATAGAAAATATTTGCTAACCGAGCGCAATAGCATATCAAAAATAATTCGTAATGGTAAGTTGGGGTTTTCCCCGGACCATCAGGAAAAGTGTCATTTATGATATGTTAACAGAGGGGGAATTCATTTGAGATTTTTGAAGACTCTTTTGATAAAGTTCCATACCCATATATGATTAAAACTGAGCAAAACAGGGGCACCAGGGTGGCTCCGTCAGTTAAGCGTCCAATTCTTGGTTTCGACTCAGGTCATTATCTCTCTCAAATAAAAATGAAATCTTAAACACACGCAAAGCTGAGCAAAACAGGAACAGAAATGAATTTCCTTAACTTGGCAGAAGTTAAATACCAAAATACTAAAGCAGAACACACTTCCTGAGGAAGTTGCAGATGCTGTCACTTTCAGGTGAGGAACAAATAAGGCTGTCCGTTGTCACTGGCACAGTATAGATGATAGTCCTGGACAGTGTTCTGAGGAAAGAAAAACAGTGTAGGTCAAGATCAGACAGGCAGTGATAATAAGGATCACCTACCACTGCGTCAGTAGCAAACTTCTGCAACTAACAAGAGTTCAGCGAAGCTGCTGGGTAACAGATCCATTTTAAACATCAGTAGCTTTTCTCTGCATCGGTAATAAGCAACTAGGATGTATAATGAAAGGCAAAATACCAGTCATAAAGTATATCAAACTTTAAGGTAATTCCTAAACAATTAAACCCACATACCTAGAGAGAGAACCTGAAAGTGCCAATAAAAGCGCACACGGAGGCCGTCTCGGAGGTGGTGCCGCACTGTGCAGAGGGTCGTTGTGAGGAGCAGGGGTAGTTGGGAGGCTAACCCCGTAGGGCACTGTGCCATCAACACCGGAAACATGGGTCTTCCAAACTGTGCTGAGTTAGAGACAAATACAATGAGGTGTGCAGTTCAGAGCCCTTTCTATGCCTCCAAAATGCAGATATGTAGTGACTATACACATTTTCTAAGAATGAAAGTAACATGTAGGAAGCACATCAGGAGAGTTGCTTTTGTGGGGAGGGAGTGGAGAGTGGGGATAAAGAGGAGTAAGGAACCAGGTGACTTGGGTTGTCAACAAATCTTTAGACTTTAGTTCAATTTCCTCCTTATAAATTGCCTAGACCCATCTGAAAGCCACCCAAGAAATGATCCTAAAGTTAGGTTTTTCGTAAGCAAATCCAGGACAGGACTCCACTCTGAGAATGATGGCCCTTCCCAGAGGGAATCTCCAGCTGCCCTTTAGCTGATTCTAGTGCTGCCTTGATTGTGTCAGAATGGGAGGTCCAGACAGGATCGCTGACCGTCTACTTTTACAGCCCACAATCAACAATCAAAAGCGTTTGCTACTTGTCTTTCTCCGCCAGGAGCCATCAGGGGGGGAGATAACCCTTCCTATATTTTGCTTGTCCCCTTAGGATCCGCTCTCACCTGTTCTGGCCACCGTTCTTGGCTCTGTCTTCCTTCACAGTGTCTGTATTTCTCATGCACTGTCAGAGAGCTCCGTCCTGGTGCAGGCCCCTGGTACCCTGCCCCTGGGACAGGAGCAGCAAGTTGACAGGGGTCTCTCCTGCTGACTGTTGAATGCTGGGCTGGGCCCTGAGAGCAAAATGCCTTAACTGAAGACTCATTCCTTCAAACAGGTTCATTTGACACCTCCACCGAGTCTGCAGTTCTGCTTATGTGCAGTCGTGGACATAGTACCCCCCACATTCCTCATTTATAGGAGTATTCTGAAACTCTTGTACATTTCTTTTTCTGTTTTGCACACTTGGCTTCAGAGTGTTGAAATCCTATCGGTATGTACAGTAATGCGGGCCATTCTTTATCAGACACCAGCTGCATTACATTGTCCCTCCTTTGGTTCCCTCCCGTGTGTGATCCTTGCCTTTCGTGATTTCCCAGTCACCATCTGTGGTCCCTGTGGCCCCTCCCCTGAGCATGCTTGGCCCCAGGGCTTTACTCCATGGCCGCCATGACTTCCAGGGTCATTTGCATGTGCCTTCATCCTCTGCCGGTGCCGCCACCTGGGATGTCTAATGTTGCCTATCCTCCTCTTTACTGCAGTGAGGAAGGAAAACTGTCTACCTCTCAAGATGCTGCTTGTAAAGATGTCGAGGAGAGCCCTGAGACAGCAGAGGCAAAGTCTGCGGGCCCCCGGCCCCCCAGCAGTAGCCCAGAGCAGAGGTAACTCCCCACTTCCTCAGATCTGCCCAGGCCCTACTCTGGCTGTGGCTCTTGTCTTCGCGGGAGCTGGGAGGGAAGTTGGCATCCGGGGTGGGATGGAGAGCTCCTTACAGGTGTCCTCGGGCATTCAGGGACTTCCTCGGCACGGGAGCATTTTCCCAGGCCACGTCTAGGCAGGGTGCCTGAGCCGAGAACTCAGAACAGTTTACCTCCTTACCCCAAAATCCAAAAACTGACTGGCTTTTGGAGATTCAGTAACCTCACTGGCTCTTTAAGAAATTACTCCGAATGGAAGGGAAGGCTCTTCGATGCTGGCGTGCCTCCCCCCTACACACTTTTTTTATTTTTGAGGAGGTGCTAAGTTGAGGCTGATGTTGAGCCCCTCTGGGATTGGGGTCCCTAGGCTGTGGTAGCCAAGTTCCCACGGGCTCCACGAGGTCACCAGCCGCCAGCAACACCTGGCACCCCTTTTCCCATAATCGTGCACATGTGACACATGGGGAGAGCCTTCCTGGAGACCCTTTTATAAATGTAGTTACATATTCTTAACTGTTGGATGATTCCCTGTATGGTTTTGTGTGTGCAAAATATTTGTCTTGATTAAGTGTGAAAATCCCACTGCCAGAGCGGAGTGATTTGGAATGTGATGTTTTCTTTCTAGTCACCTATTGCTTAGACTGAGCCAGTGGTCTGAAGGGATAGGCCAAGCCAAAGCCTCAGCCGCCGAGGGCCGGCGCCCCGGCCCGTACGCACGGCCTCGCAGGTAGAGCAAGGGCGGCCTCCGATTGCTGCAGAGCACGCGCCAGAAGATGAGGATTTGCCCTTGGACCACAAGGAACTTTGCTCAGCACTTCCCAGAGTTAACTTTTTTGTTATATATATCTAAGTTTGTACATTCCTTCCATAAGGAATAAAGTAACCTTTAAAGCCATTTCAGAGAAGTTGTACTTTCCCCCTCACCAGACCCCCACCCCCAAAATGTCACTTTAGAGGTGACATAACCAGTGGGAACCAGCAGGGGGCGCTCTCTGTTCACTGGTTGGCAAACCTCTTTAGTGGGGCAAACCCTGCTTTTGTTTCTCTCATGGGAATTATAGCCAGCATGAGGGGTTTGCTTCTATGATTAAAAAAAAAAAGCCTTCTTGGCGTATAAAACAACTTAATTATAAGAACTATTTGAGCATGTTGGCTCTAGGGAAGGCTTTGGGAGGAGGAGGCATGGTGACCCTCCAGCGTTGAGGGATCCGGCCCCAGGTATGCTTCGAAGTGTTCTGGGCAAGTCACTTTTTTTGCCTGGGGTTTTCAGTGGGTGTTTTTTCAAAGGTATTTTGTAGGATCTTATTCCTAGTCCGTTATGTCATCTCCCTGATTTCTACCTACGGATTTCCTTTATATTGAGAACTGCTTGAAGGCAGGACAGTCCAGGTCTATTCCAATCTGGAGTTGCTTCAGGACTCTCTTTGTTTCTCAGACATAAATGATACAGGAGGCTCTGGGATCATTTCCTTGGCTCTCTGGAGGGCAGAATTCCTTGCTTTAGGGGAACCCACTTGCTCTTCTACCCGCCTAGAGACGTCTGGTGTGAAGAGCCCTGCCTCTCAATCTGCCAGACTGAGGTGGTGGGGGGGAACACTGGGGAGGGCCAGTGGTCAAAGAGGAGGGCATCCCTTGTGTCCACACGTTCATCCATCTGTCCTTCATCCAACACATGGAAGTGTGGCAGCCAGTGGTCTAGGCCGGGGTGGGGGAAGCAGTTGCATAAAAGACCCCCAGATGATAGAGGGACGTGTAGAAAGAGGTGCTGCTGAAGAATCGGGACAGCTGCACGGGAGATCAGGAGTCCCATTTAGATGGGGCGGTGGAGGAAGGCCGCTCAGAAGGTGACATTGAGCTGCTGTGATGGCAGGGAGAAGGTAAGTGGTCCAGCGCATCCCATCTGTGTCCTAAGGGCGAAGTACGGGAGGTAGGGAGAGCCATTGGGACTTGCCAGATGCCCTCTTCCCCACATGGTTCCTGTCACAACCAGGTTATCATGAGCCCTGGGGTTGACAGATGCACACTACTGCCCTGAACTGCCTGCATGGCCACGGAATTTAACGTTTAGCTACTGTGGATCGAGCACGTGCGATACCTGTGCTGACCAGTGTGCCAGCCACTCGGCACCCGTCACGTACGCACCCACCTTCAGTGGGGATTGTTGTCCCCTTTCACGGGGGAGGAGCTGATCTGGAGAGGGGAGAAAGTGCACTTGAGACCCAGCAGCTTGTGAGTGGTGATAGTGGGATCTGTACCCGGTGTGTTTGCTGCCAGAACCCCGGTCCCCCTGCCTCTCAGACACTGAATGTCACCAGAGTGCTTGCTCGTGGAGCCAGCTTCCTGGCTCTCTGTCAAAGTTGGCGGGTGTCTGAAGCCTTGGGCTCGTGAGTTGCGAGCTGATCCAGAAGCACCCTGTGTGCTTCCCAGTGCCTCTCTAAGCACCCTTTCCCAAGCCGGCTTTGTAAATTCTGGAAATGCCGCCAAGACTCTACTGTCCTGTGTTAAAGCAGGAAGGTCGAATTTGTGTATCTGCCACCATACTGTTCATCTAGCATTCCCTCTTGTCTTTCGAGAGGGAAGGGAGGGCACACGTGGGGGTGGAGGGAGAGGGAGAGAGAATCTTTTTTTTTTTTTAAAGATTTTATTTATTTATTTGACAGCGAGAGACACAGCGAGAGAGGAAACAGAAGCAGGGGGAGCTGGAGAGGGAGAAGCAGGCTTCCTGCCGAGCAGGGAGCCCGATGCAGGGCTCGATCACAGGACTCTGGGATCATGACCGGAGCCGAAGGCAGACGCTTAACAACCGAGCCACCCAGGCACCCCGGGAAAGAGAATCTTAAGCTGGCTCCTGCCGGGGCTCGATCTCACGACCCTGAGATCATGACCTGGCCAAAACCAAGAGTCAGAGGCTTAACCGACTGAGCCCCCCCAGCCGCCCCTAGCATTCTCTCTTCTGTGCTCCCAACTTCAGCCCTAACACTTGCCTGGCGGGAGCACATTTGTTAAATTGCACACCTGGTTTCAAGAGTTGGTCTTGTTTACAAGCCTTTTTTTTTTTTTTTCCTCTTTCAGTAGAAGAATCCTGCTTTTCAAGTGAAATTTTATGTGGATTCCAATATATGGAACAAATAAAAAGCTGTTTGAAGGAGGAAATGAGCATGTGGCTCGTGACGGGTCTGGGAGCAACAGTAAAAACCACTGCCCTAGTCTCCGCCTGTGCTTCTAAGAAGCTGAGGTGGGATGGTTTCTTGGAGGTCGGCTCTGCTGCAGCCCTTGCTAAATGCCTGTTGGCCACGGCTACGGTGAAGCTCAGAACCTGTTGGATTTCCTGGAGTTTTCCATAAATGCATTTGTGAAGCATTCCCTGAAGTAGCTCCTAAGTGTCGGGCTTCGTGTTAGATGTTGCGTAACAGCATTAAAATTAACGTCCCCGCCCTCGGGGAGCTAAACCACGTTTGTTTCTGCTTTAAGTGCCTCAGATGTGTGTCTCTTCCTCCGCAGGACTGACCAGCCAAGCCTGCCAGGCGACACATCCGTCAACGGCCCCGTATGATGAGTGACCCCTGCTTGCTGCTGACTGAGGACCGCAGGCCGCCACCGCTCAGGGCCTCTGGAGACTTCACCTGGAGCCCGCCAGGCCGTCACTGCTGCACTCACTCTGCAAAGGATCAGGACCAGCAACCTTTATATTCTAGATTCTAAGACATTGTACAGAGAAATCCAGAAGTGTAAAAATATTGCACATTGACAAATACCAAGAATTTTTGCGTATGTTTATATTGTATTGTTCTAAATAATGGGTAGCCTGTGAAATACGATCGTGCCACCCATGTAATAATAGTAGTAATACTATAGTTAAAATGGCTGTAAGAATAGTTTTATAAAAGTGAATACACAGATCTATTGTATTTGAAACATAACTATTTGACAATTATTAGTGTGACCAAAGTATTAGGCAGTTTTCATACATTTTTCACCTTGTACAAAATTCTGAATTCATTTCTCTTCCAGGCTGGCAAGGAGTTGTAGGGTTGAAATGCCCTCTAAGTGTTATTTTGGTTGTTCTAACTTACAAACGTGATTTTGAATAAGAAATATTTGGTGTTCTTTTTATAACCAGGTTTTGATTGGTAACTGTTTTCTGTATTGTTTTAAACGGATCAAAAAATGTAAGTCTATTGGTAGAGATTAAGTATTTATTGCTACAACTTAGTTGATAAATTGATGTTACTGTAAAGCCATATGTTCTGTTGAAGTCTTGTTTGCTTGAAATGGTTCCTCCTACAGGTGAGACACTAGACTGTTTGGGGTGTACGTGGCTTGTGGTTTGAGTTACTTTGTTTCTCGTTTTTGTTTTTTTTGTTTTGTTTTGTTTTGGTAGTTCCTCTGCCTTTTAACCCATTCACCCAAATTTACCTTGTTAACAAGCATCACCAGTGACCATTTCTGAGCAGTTTGCATATTTAACAAACCTAAACCGTATCAGGCAGGCCAGTGGAAGAGTGCTCGCGCTGCAGGTGGATCAGAGCGCATTCGTTTTGCAGGCTAGTGTTTCCAGCTAGAAATCAGAACCTGGCACCTACGCATGGGGATTGTTCTCCTGTACCTTGTGAGGTTTCCACGCATAAATTCTAAGCCAGTGTGTTTTTTTTAGAACTGGTTTGTGTATATATATATAGTGATTATGGATACTAATTCAATGTAATTTATAATTTTCTATGTCAATATAAAAGTACATCACAGCCTTCTCAAACAGCTGAAGCAATATATCGTATATTGCCATATCGTCTGGGGAAAGGGTTAAATTTCTTCACCTTGCACTTTTAGATGCAGATCAGGTTTTCATTTCTGTAATAGAAAATGTTCACGTATTTTTACATCATTTGTTTGTCCTGACCAGTATTTAAAACCAAAAGGATATTCTGAATAATGGCCAACGATTTTTTTAGAACTAGCATCCCAAGCAGCGTGCCTAAACATTACATTGCATATGGAAATAAAAGAATCAAATGTTTAATGCCTTATTTCTCATTTACTTTTCCATTGTAAATGGTGTCGAAATCCTGTGTGGGGCTTCCCGCGGCAGACCCAGCACTTGAGGCCGGTGGAGTCAGCGGCACGCCCTGGGACGGACGGCAGGTGCCCCACTTGGCCTTTGCGCACCTCCTCAGGAACCTCTGTTGTGAGCTCCTCAGAAGAGACTGTCCTCGTGCGTTGTCCTCTGGAACCCAGCGCCGCCAGAGGACAGGGCTCCTTTCACGTGTCTCAAGGATGCGGACTCCGTGACACAGGGCCTTGGGGACCGCTGACGGCTAGCATGCTCTTACCCCGCCCGCTGGAGAGTCTCGCTGGCCACCGTCGGGGCTTGGCTCCAGGGCTGCCATGCTGCTGCCTCCATGCAGTTTGGATTTGGCTGGCTTCTCCATCCCACCCAAGGTAACACAGCATCTCGTGTCACCCCCCTACTGCTGACATCCGAGCACTTGAGGTTGTTCTTTGCAGTAGTGTTTTGTTTAGCTCATCTTACGTGGCAGGGAAAGGACATGAGGATGGAAAGAAGAAAGTCTGTTGCGGGTGCCAGCCCAAGGGCCAGGAGTAAAAGTACACTCTCATTTAGCCTCTACTTTAGTTTCTGTGTATTGGCCATACTGAATTGCGAGACTAATCGATGTCTACAATGCAGTACCTGTATTAAAAATAACTACAACTAAAATAAAGCCTGATTCCTTGTTTCTAGAAATCTTCTCTTGTACCTTGCTTGGGCTTTAACCAGACAAGGGGTGTGGGGGCACCATTGATCCTTTTTTTTTTTTAACTTTTTAATTTTTTATTTAAACTCAATTTAATTAACATAGTGTACTATTAGTTTCAGAAGTAGAGGTCAGTGATTCATCAGCATACGACACCCAGTGCTCATTACATCAAGTGCCCTCCTTAATGCCCGTGACCCAGTTACCCCAGCCCCCCACCCACCTCCCCTCCAGCAACCCTGTTTGTTTCCTAGAGTTAAGAGTCTCTTACGGATTGTCTGATTTTGTCTTATTTTTCCTTCTCTTCCCGTTTGTTCCTCTGTTTTCTTTCTTAGAGTCCACGTATGAGTGAAATCATCTGATACTGGTCTTTCTCTGACTGACTTATTTCGCTTAGCATAATCTCCTCTAGTTCTTCCGTGTCGTTGTGTGCACGTGTGTGTGTGTGTACACACCACTTCTTTATCCATTCATCTGTCGATGGACATCTGGGCTCTTTCCACAGTTTGGCTGTTGTGGACATTGCTGCTACAGCACATTGATTTCTAGGGGTCAGGGCTTCCTGATACAAGCTCTCAGGCGGTCTACCAGATCCCGAGTTCGGGGTATGCTGTCCCTGGGTCAGGGACTTGTCATGCCCACAGCTGTCATCCGAGCACCCGGAACCGTCCGTGTCTGACACACAGGTGCTCCTCTCGAGAACTGCCACTAGCTCTTGTCTTCCGATGGTTTATCTGCTCCTCGAGCTTCTCACCTGCTCCGTGGTTGCGCTTCTCCAATCTGCATTTCTTGGCCTCCGGCCCTACCAGTAACTCTTGGGTGGTAGGATTTCTCAGGTGTTCCAGAATGGTGTTTCACATATGGCGCTGCTTCACAGCTGCTCAGTTTTCGTGCTCCTTCCACCTGTTCACATCAACAAGTGTGGTTCCTGCTCCCCAGAGCCCGCCCGTCACCGGGGCCCTCTGTGCTGGTCCAGGCACCTGCCTGCACACCGGGCTCTGCAGCCCTCTCACTGGATGACCGAGAGCAGGCCTCCGGGGCCAGGGGCTCATGGTCACGTCCCACTTCACCCTCTCATGGGGGCTAACTTCTCTTTGTCTCAGCCGTTTTTCCTGCCACATGGGACTTGATAGGAACAAATGTACAAGCCTAAAAGTAGATAGAATAGTTCTTGCCTGTGGTAAGTGCTTAATAAATGTTAGTGTTAACCCTTCGCTCACTTCTCAGCCCCGTAATGTCACAGGCTAACCTTTCTAATCCTGGCTTTGAGCCTGCTGTTTTACTTAGAACTGCTGCCTCCTGAAAACTCAAGCACCTTCTCTCCGATCAGATGGCTCCAAGGTCCGCTGCGTCCCACGTGCCCGTTGGGCCCACCACGTGGGTTCACAAGCAGCTCTGCCCGTGTGTGCATATGCTGGGGTTGGCTGCTTTTGCGCTCCAGTGGCAGACTTGAGTTGCTTTGCTTGACTCCTCGCACACCCCGTGTTCGTTCTTTACCTTGATGCACTTTCCTCTCTGGATCCCTGTCCCATCCGTGTTCATCCCTTTTCAGTCATTAATTTTCAGCATTCAGCATAAGCTGGCTTCCTTTGTCCTCACCATCTCGACCAGCTACTCAGTACTTACCCCAAAACAGGTGACACAGTGCTGCCCTTGCAGTGATCCCCCCCGATCTGTTGTGCAGGCGTCAAAGGCGAGGACCCCCACGCCCGCAGTGCTGCACACTGCCTTAGTGAGGCACTTGGTTTGCTTCGGTTTTGATTTTCCTGTAGGATTCTCTTGTTCACATAAAACGGAGTTCTTACTCTATGCCGGGCTCTGTTCTCAGTGCTTATGTGCATTCACTTTACTTCACAGCGATTTTATGTGCAAGAAAACTGCTATCGTTTTACACACGCGCAAGTGCACAGAAGTGAACTGGTTTCTCCAAGGATGCCTAGAGTGATGGAGTTGTAAAGATTAAGTGTAACGCGTTTAAATATATAACAGAATAATGCTTGACTGTACACATGCACTTGATATTAGCTGTTACTATAGTACACTCCTGGTCAAAGCCTTTCGGTATTTTTCTCCTTAGAATTTGACAGTTTAATGTCAGAGTAGCGCATCGAATGGAGACTAGCTGCATGGAATGTTTGGTAGCCAGTCGAACAATAGAAATGTTAGTTGACAAAGACTGCTGAATACTGCTCAAAACCATTCTGAAGCAGATCGGTGCATGTGGGAGAATTAAATTTGTTGAGTCAGCCAACAGGAGTAGAGACCTGTGGGTGACTTCTGGGACTGCCCCCACTTGCTACTGGACCTGACCCCCGATTGGCTGTTCTCATGATCCACCGGCAGAGTTGAGTTGTTGCAACAGAGACCATGGGCCTGCAAACCCCAGGATACTGACTGTAGGCCCTTTATAGAGAAAAGTTGCCAGCCCCTGAAATAGATCAAGGAAATAGAATCTGCAAATGAAACCACAAATGCACAGTCGGTTGGCTCTCAGCAGCATTTGCTAAGGCAGCATGAGGAAAGTCTTGGCAGCCTGTAACCAGTGACTGGGTATTTGTATGGGAAGAAATGAACGTTGACTACTACTGTCCACCTTATACAAAAACTAATCCAAAATAGGTTACAGGTCTAAATATAAGCACTTGAGCTTCTATAAGAAAAGAGAAATATCTGAACCGCTTTGGAATGGGCAAAGTTTTCTTGGGACACAAAGCACAAGTCACAGAAGAAAACACAGTGGGCTTTTACCCCAATGAAGTTTTTCTGCTCTTCAGAATGAACAGGTAAGCCCTGGACTGCCACGAAGAAAATAATCTGTGTGCCCTGACAAAGGACTCCTACCCTGAAGATAGAAAAATGCAAATAAAAAATAAGATGGAAAACCCAGTTTAGCAAATGGGCAACAGAGTTGAACAGATCATCACAAAGAAGGTACACAAGTGGCCAAGAAGAACATGAAAAGTTGTTCAGAGTCACTAGTCATCCAGGAATGCAAATTAAAACCACAAAAAGATACACATTTCCCATCTGATAGAATGGCTAAGATTTAAAAAACCTGACAATACCAAGTATGATGAGAATGTAGAGCAACTAGGACTCATTGCTGTCTAAAATAACGCATCCAATGTGGAAATCGGTTGGGCAAGTTTCCAATTTTTTAAATTGGGGATACTTCTGCCTTAGGACTCGGCAATTCTACTAGCTATTCACCCAGGAGAAATATATGTCCACAAAAGATACTCAAGCAGGTTTATTGTTGCTTTATTCGTAATGACAAAAGATTAAGAAAACAGGTCCAACAGCAGGAAAATGGATTAGCAGGTTATGGCATATTAATACAATAGAATATCACTCAGCAATAAATAGGAATGAACTATGGTAAATGCAACGTATTGTTACCAATCTTGAAAATGTCAAGGGAAAGGAGCAAGAACATAGAAGTAAGCGTGCTTTTTATGAAGCTCTAGAACTGGTCAGACTGATTGACAGTGCAAGAAATCAGAACACGGTTTGCTCCTGAAGGGGAAGGGAGGGATTGGCTGAAAGGGGCCCAAGGAAACTTTCTGGATAATGGAAATCAGCACCTTGTGTGATGGAGGTTACATGAGTGTAGACATTTGTCAAAACTCACTGAATTCAACACCTAAAATCTATGCACTTTATTACATGTAATTTATACCTTAAACTTTTTCTAAGATAAGGAAAAGGAGCAAAAAGTAAAGCAAACACTAAACATGGTTAGGGAGGACACATTGCCCATGTCACGTGGTGACCAGGGAATTGCCTTTCCTCCCCAGCACAGGAGAAGAGGCCAGATCTTGGTGGATTTGAGAAGAGGATCTGAGCATGCTTGGGTTAGTGTTTTCTGGAATCCAGCCTGGATTTGTGTGGGATGATACGTTCTGGATTGCCCCTTTCCGTGCAATCGCCTTTCTGTCCTTGCGGAGGGGGGGGGTTGCATTTGTTCAGCGCTGCCTGTGCCTGGCGGGTAGATGTCTCTAACCCAAGGGTCAAATGTTAGGAAACACCCAAACCATGTCCTTCAAAACAGGCTCATTAATAAAACGAATGTTTTGAATCCACGTGTTTGCTGTGTCTTCTCTCTGAAGGTTAGAGGGGGTAGGCGCTATTTATAATCTTCACTAAAACTGTACAACCAACCTTTTGTCGCAGGAAGAAACGTGAGGGAACAGTAGTTTGCAGTGAGGGAGAGGCATGAAGGTGAGGCCAGAACTGTCCCACCTCTGCTTCCCCTCCCTTGGGAGACGCCACACCCACGGCCGCCCGTAGCTTCATGGTTAAGTCTGATGGGTTAAAAGGACCAATGAATGAGTAACACTTGGGTAATTGCTATTTCTCCCGACCTCATATTTCTCCGTGGGATCTTAGTGCTACTCTGACACTCCTAGTCTCTCTTTAATCCCCCTCTTAGGGGAGGGGAGAGTGATTTATTTAATTTGGAAAGGATCTGCATTTTTGGTTCAATGCCTTAAGTGCTTTTTCTCACATTTGCGGCCCTACCGAGGAGTACGTTCTAGTCTTATCTGTGTATAAGCTGTCCCTCTGGACAAGACCTGTGGTTGTCCAGCTCTGCAAGTAGTTAGGCAAGTGATTCTACATCAGGAGTGAAGTATTTACAAGCCCATTTGGCCACACGTCTCAAGCTGGTCTTCCTTTTCTTTTTTCTTAATAAAGATTGTATTCATTTATTTGAGAGAGTGCTTGAGCGAGAGTGCACAGCAGGGGGAGCAACAGAGGGAGAGGGAGAAGCAGACTCCGCACTGAGCAGGGAGCCCAGTGCGGGGCTCGATCCCAGGACCCCGAGACCTTGACCTGAGCCCAAGGCAGCCGTTTGACTGAGCCACCCAGGCACCCCTCAAGCTGGACTTTCTAACCAGGTGTTCTTCATTAGTCTTCCACGTTATAATTCTCACCTATTTCTGAACTTCCAGGTTCTTCCCAAACAAAAATAAGAAAAGGATATAAGTTG